CATAAACACGCAAAAAAAAAAAGAATTTGGCCAATATCCAGCCATCTTGACCGAACAAGCTTGGTCAATAACCCATATTTATAACATAACTGAGGCAAAGCGCTCGCTCGGATTGGTTAACTCATCGTCTATTATTTGCCGATGTGTGTAAGCTGCTGACTGTGCTAATGGCATCATGTAGTTCAATAAAAGAACTTTTTTTTGCCCTGATGTGTCAATGTTATGTATAAAACAAATGGTAAACGCCACAGCTGTACACCATTGAGTTATGGATGCACTTGGGAGGCTTGCTAAGCGCTCAAGAAGCTAGAGTCGCACTCGGCTATCGCCTCATGCGACTCTTACGCTTCTTTCGTGCTAAGCAACTTCCCGCGTGCATCCATAACTCAATAGTGTACGGTATGGCGTTTACCATTTGTTAACAGTATAAAATATAAATTAAAAGATCTTACCCAAACGGAACTGAACAGCCGCTCTGTTACTGTGCACTTTGGCTATCGCTTAGAAGAAAAAGGTGATTTGGTACGTGGCTCAGATTTGCTAAGGATGCCCAATACTGACTCAGATGAAATAGTTCATTTCTCTTACTAAAAAATATGCGTTGGCCAGGAGCTTAAAATGCGTAATTCCCTGAAGGTACCACTGAGATATTTTCTTTACACAGCGTCATCCTAAGAACGCCCAACAGTGTCACTCTAAGATTGCGCACCAAAATAAAAAGGATTTTTTTGTACCCAAAACTGATCTAGTATGTGCGAATTCGTTTGGAAATGATCTGAAGACTTGTAAACGTTAGCTTTCGTCGTTTTTATTTATGCCGGTTTTAACCCGTCCCGCCCCAACTAACAGCCCCTGAGTCTCCGAAGATGCCCGGAAACAGAAAATATTGCTGTTTGATTGTACGCATTGATCCAAGGTTATACTAGTTTCTGAACATGCGTAGAAAGAGAAACCGTTGTGACTAATAGCGGCTCAGTTTCCGATTTCAACCAGAGCTCCTGATACTTATTGGTGACCAAGCAACTGAAAAAATGTATAACTAAATTAGGTAAGTTGTCTAGATTTCAAAAAATTATGTCCTGTGACTTTTAAACCCATCAACATCTCTATTTCTCTCCCTTAATACTGAGCGCTTCCACCTCATCGTTTATTGTATAAACTGATTTGTTGTAGACAACGCATTCACTCTTACGTTCTACAACATTTTTATGAGCCACTCCGTTATGTAGCCATGTCTATGGATCATTCGACCTAAATAATTACAATGTTATAATGTCATACAATGTATACTGTAAAACTTTTACGTTATAATTAATATGTTATATCAATATTTACCTT